TACATGTCCAGTTTCAAAGTGTGAAAACTATCCTCAGGAGCTGCTTCTCTCTCCCCGTTGGTCCAATCCATCTGAGCTTGGCTCAAGTATTAGAAACTCCAATGATGATGAGCCTCTCAACCCTCCCTTCTCTAACTGTGCTCTTGAATGTAGTAGCTACTAGCCACATGTGGCTACGCAGATTGAAGTTAACTAAAATTAAATACAACTAAAAATTTAGTTCCTCAGTCGCATTAGCTCTGTGTTAGTCCTTAATTGCCACATGAGGTTTGTGGCTACCATATTGAGCAGCACAGATGGAGAACGTGTCCATCATGGCAGAAAGTTCTGTTGAACTGTGTGGCTCTGTCTCACAGCAGAGTCCCTAGGATTAAATCTTCTCTTGGTCCTGCAGTGTCCCGTTCCCTTGCTGTATGGCCACTTTCGGCTTGCTTGTTGTCTCGGCCCTAGAGTGCAAGCTCATTGAGGGCAGGGCTATGCTGGTTGTGTTCTGCTTCCCATGCCTCCTGCAGTGCTGGGCTCATCATGGTACTCACTTGTTGAGTACAAAAGTAGATGAATGGGCAGCTGAACAGCGGTGGGTGGCGTTTGTGAACCCAAAGTAATCCCCTGGGGACCCTGGAAGTTTGGGTAATCCTATTAGGGCGTGGTCATGCTACTAAAATTCCATTTTAGAGAACTCATGGCCTTTTTGGGGAAAACAATCACAAACACACACAGTTCCTAAAACAGATGAAATTGAGACACCACAGATGATTGAAGATGGCCTTTAGCAATGGCTCTGTGCTGTTTTAGAACTTTTTTACTTGGCCTCAGGGACCAGTAATTTCTAGACGGAACCTTTGGGAACTCTTCTAAAGCCAGAAGGCTCTCCATGTGGTGGGGTAGGTGGGGCTCCTTCCGAAGCTCTTTAACCTGTCTGTTTGTAGACAGAGTGTTCCGTGAGTTAAGGGGAACTCTGGCTCAGCCACTGTGGTGTCTACGTTGGCCCAGAGAAGGTCATTTTCAAACCAAATTTCTGGCTTGTAGTTCAATGCCACGGTGACGCCTGCAGTTTTCTCCCCCATGAGCTGAGGAGGAGACAACAGGGTAACCTTCTTGAGTTTGAAAAGAAACTGTCTTTCTTGATCCCTGGGTTTTTTAATTTTTAATTTTGTTTATTTTTATTTTTTTAGGTGAACAAGACCCTTATGTGTTGTTTCTCACAGTAGGCTTAAAGTGGGCAGGACTCTTACCTAGACCTTCAACACTTGGTGTGTAGCACGCAGGAGGCTGTTGGTGGACAGTTTTTGACTTTGTGAATCAGTTTTGCAATTGGGTCAGAGCCTCTCTTTGTAGCGTTACTCTGTTATAACGAAAGGCAGTGTGGCTTAGTGGTTAGAAGCATGGCTCTGGAGCCAGACCGTGGGTGTCAACCCCAGCATGGACATGTACATGCTGTTTAATCTTGGAGAAGTTGCCTAACTTCTCTGGGCTTTAGTTTTCTCATGTGTAAAATGAGAATCGTAATACCCCTTGCCTCACAGTCATTATGAAGATTAAATCGTTAATGTGTCATAAGTGATCTATAATTATCAGCTCTTATTGTTATTACTTTTCAGACTGTAGGTCTGGCCACCAGATCCCTATGTGACCAAAGATGAATTCCTTGGTTTTCCCAGGTGTTAGAAGGTACAGGTATTTCTGTCCTTGTGTGATCATAACAAAGGGGATGTTGTTCCTTGGCTCCTGTTGATTCACGTGGCAAAATAGTCTAACAAATAGGTCTAAAAAATCAGGGCGTTACCTCATGTAAGTGGCCTGACTTCCACGGACAAGGAGAGAGTGGTGTGACAACAGCAGGGCCTTGACCTGCTCTTGAACAGCCTTGAGGCCACTGGTTGGCCAAGAGGCTTGGATGTGAGGACACTGATCCTACCCCCTGGCCAGGCATCTGCTGCTCATCAGAGAGAATCACAGAGCCAGGTCCGGCTGCATTTCTAGGCAGCAGACGGATTAGGAATGGGTGTGAGGGAGCAGTACCGAAGAAGAACAGAGACTTTGGAGGCCATCTTTGCTCTTTGAAGCCTCCTGTGTCCTGTGACTATCCAGAAACCTTCGGCCAGGGCTTGGCAAGCCTGCCTCATTCAGCTGGACCTTTGGGTCCCAAGTTTTCCCTGGTGCACAGTCGGTTGTAGGCTGGGAGGGCTGTAGTGGCAGAGGGGCCTGGGGTGGGAGCGGGGGAGACCCGCCTCTCTCAGAGATCCCCTGGGGTGATCCCCTGGGGTGGCAGGAGTCTGGGAAGCCAGGCCTGTCACGTCGCACCAGCTGCATCTGAGGTAAGGCTGTGTGGGCAGTGCCATGGCAGAGGTGCATTCACTGCACAAAGAATCAAGCGTCCCAGCTAGATGGTGGGGATGTGTTCACAGGCAAAAGAGACATTATCCTTGTCTTCATGAAGCTCTGTTGTTAATCAAATCACACAAATCAATTTATCATCGCAAGCTGTGCTAAGAACCATGAAGGAAAAGTGGGGTGTGAGAGGTTATTGCAGAGGGCCCCCTTTCTCACTTGTGAGAGTCAGGAAAAGCCTCCCAAAGGAGATGATGGGAGCTGAAGTCTGAAGTAGGGGTGAAAGAGGGGGGAGAAGGAGCAGTGTGTCCAAAGGCCTGGAGGGGGAGCAAATGTGGCTCATCTGGGAAATGGAGGGCAGGCCGTGTGCCTGACCAGCCGTGAGCAAGGCAGGGACTGAGCAGTAAGCACTGAGGCCGGAGAGGGGCCCCAGTGTCAGATTCTGCCAGGCCAGGAGACCACGCAAAGGTCTCCAAGGACAGTGGGGCAGCGCTCAAGGATTTGAAGCAAGGGCAACCTGAGGGGAGTTGAGGCCAGAGACCCTGTGCAGGGCTGAGGTGTGGATGACACTGTCCCTTCCCGCTATCCCGTCAGCTCATGCCTCCTGTGTGGCAGCCTGGGGGACTGTAGGCTTCCCCTGGACATGACTATGTATTATTGATTTTTATCTCAGAGGACTAGATTCTATCATAAAACACTCTTAGGACATATCCTTTTGGGCTTTGGGCAGGACTCAGGTTGAACCTGGGAGTGTGGGAGCCCAGGGGATCTGAAGAGAGGGCCAAGTTGCAGTGTCCATCCTGACAAGGTCTGTGCAGTGGTGCCAGTCCCTCCCTGTGCTGAACAGCCAGCACCCAGGCATGAGGTCAGGGTGGCAGGAGGGTCTGGTTTTACAGCGGGGAGGCAGTCTGTATATTAATGGACAGGCTTGGGCTCTCTTAGAATTTGTCCAGTAGGGGTGTGTGTTTCCAGTGCTCCCTGGATGAGCGCAGCACTGCCTCTGGACCTCCCTCTGCTGTTCTGGAAAAGGGTCAACATGTTCTCATCTTTTTTGCTTCACACAAAGGGCCTGCAGATATACCTGAAACAGGGGTTGTTTTCACATCTTCCCTAAACCCTGTGAACTTGGTGTGATTATTCAGTCAACTCTAGCTTCACCAACAGCCAGATGTGTGCTCATGACATTACCATGCATTATTGTGGGATATCTATTCCCCCTTCATACTGATGAAGAGCCTTCAGTGTGCCAGAGCTCTGCTCTATGGGGGTAGATGAGAGAGGACCCAGCTCTCAAGGCCCATATAGTCTAATGGTGGGTTAGTCAATAGAAGCTCATGGATTGTATGGACCAGTTATTGTTTTCCAACTGTATTCTATAGTTGTTAAGAGAGGTTCACTGATAGAGGGGTTCATGGTCAAATAAGTTCGGGAGATACAGCCTTGTATATGCCCCTTGATCTGGTTACCCATTCCTACCAAACTATCACAAAACTTAATGGCGTAAAAGAACCATTTATGATCTCTCACATGTCTGTGGATTGACTGGGCTCAGCTGGGTCGTTATTGCTTAGGGTCTCTCACACAGTTCCTTCTTTTCATTTCTGTTAGTTGCAATCAGAAGATAGCTGGGGGTAGACTCATCTGAAGGCTGCTTCACTCACATATCTCTGTGCCTGGGTTGGTTGGACATTTCCATCTGCACGTGATTTCTCCACATGCTAACTTAGGCTTCCTCATAGCATGGCAGGCTCAGGGTTGTCAGGCTTCTTTGATGGCAGCTGGGTTTTGCCAGAGTGAGTGTTGCAAGAGGCCTGACAGGAAGCTGTAAGGCTTTGTATGAATTTGCTCAGAAGTCCCCCAGATATCACTTCCACAGCATTTTATTGGTCAAGCAAGTTATCAAGGCCAGTCCAGATTCAAGGGGAGGGAATTAGACTCCACAGCTCAATAGGAAGAGTAGCAAATAATTTGCAGCTCTCATTAATTTACTGCACGTCTGGAAGATTCATAATGCATGAGTGTATCCAAGGAGTCTGAGAAGTGTGGCAGTAAAGAAACCCGTTTAACTCAGCATTTTCCAAGCTGATTATTATAGTTATTTTTAAAGTCAGGAAATCCCTTTCTCATAGAAGATCATTTAACTTGTATTCTGGTAGAGAGCAGTGAGCAGATATTAAAGGTTAATAGATTGGGGGCTTAATATTTCTAATAAATCAAACATTCCAAAGATGGAATTAAGAAATTTGGGAAAGTACCAAAATAGAGGACTCATTACCATCTGCATGGATGGAGAGGCTGAATGTCCCAGTGGTGAAAGCTTTGATTTGATTTCTGGCCAATCTTGGTTAAAATTCACCATTTATGGCTATGTAACATCGGGCAAGTTACCTCACTCTAAACTTCAGTTTCCTTATCTGCAAAATAGATGGTTTCTATTTCATGGGGTTGTTGTGGGGATTAATTAGATCCTGCATATGAATTACTTAGCACAGGTATCTTCCTCGGTTAGACTTTGTGACTGCTCAGTTCCCTTCTACTTGTAGGGTTTAGTTAATGACATTAGGTTTATTCTGCACTTGCTCAAGCAAACAAGAATTGGAAGTCGTGGACTCACCCGTACTTGTCCTGCAAAAGTAACCTCTATACCTTTTTATTTTTTTCTAATCTAGTTTCTCATAAGTGACCGTGACCCTCAGTGCAACCTCCACTGCTCCAGGACTCAACCCAAACCCATCTGTGCCTCCGATGGCAGGTCCTATGAGTCCATGTGTGAGTACCAGCGAGCCAAGTGCAGAGACCCGACCCTGGGTGTGGTACATCGAGGTAGATGCAAAGGTGAGTGCATGTATCTCTGCCCAGCTGAGGAGAGGCACCTGGGCACCACAGCTTCCTGCACAGTGCACTCCCCATCGGGGGAGCTCAGGATAAATCTATTTATTTGGTGTGCTATCCTAGTCCCCCATCCTTTCTACCATGGAAGATGAGGAGGACCGGTGTACCTGAAAGAATGAGTATTTTTCTGTCTTTCAGACACTGCCACCAGGCTAAGGCTTAGAGAGATGTGCTGCTATGTGGCTAGTGCTATTTATTTTTATTTTGTAAATGGAGATGCTTAAAAGGCAAGACATTATTGCTGGCTCCTGAATAGGGATTCCAAATTGTTGGCCAGCAGGTGTATTTTGTTTGGTCTGCTCACATGTGTAAAAATATTAAGAACATTTGAGACAACATTTACAAATTGGGAGATTCGACACACAAATCTGGATTTTTGTACTTCTTATAAAAAATTGGAAGCTCTGGTAATATTAGGCCTGTGGGTGTTCCCACCCACATGGCAACACATGGCTAGAGCTGAGTAGCAGTTACCTCCTTTAAAGGGGAGCCTGTTCTCCAGTTTGCCACAGTCCTCAGCACTCCCTGTGGTGTCTCCAAGCTGAATGCCATTCTTTGCATACCCAGATCCCTTCTCTAATTTATGTCACTTTCCCACGCCCTGTAAAGATTTGAGTTTGTGACCCCTGGATGGCTTAAAGCAATTGTGGGAGGCCAAGCAGGCGGTCCTAGAGCTTCTGATCTTCCACAGAAAGTGCTTGCAGTTCTTGAACTATAAAACATTTTTGAGTCCCCTTGGGTTCTCACATTTTTTAATAAACCCAGTGAAAAATAATAGAGATAGAATATATATTTTTTTCCTGGGAGGGAGTGGGGGTACTTGGGAGAAAAAATAAGCAGAATGTGGTATAAATACAACACCCCACTTTTCTAAGAGTAACATTTAAGAGAAAGATGAGGCCCAGTGGCACACACTAGCCACTGACTGCCCTTGTGTCGTTAGAAAAGCCAGTGGTTGTGTGTGGGCCCACCCACAGGCGGAGTGGTTTTCTCTCAGCATTCCTACAGTCGGGCAGCCATTTTGTTCCATGGCTCTGTGTAGAATCCAAGTGAAGTATGAAATATGCTCGCTCCTCTTCTCTTTTAGACGCTGGCCAGAGCAAGTGTCGCCTGGAGCGGGCTCAGGCCCTAGAGCAAGCCAAGAAGCCCCAGGAGGCAGTGTTTGTCCCAGAGTGCGGCGAGGATGGCTCCTTTACCCAGGTGAGGACTTGGCCAAGTCTCTCAGGCCCATTTCCTGGACTGAGGCCGAGGGGAGGTGCTTGAGAGCGGGAGGGCCGCTCAGAGCCTTGGCTTTCTGGGAAACAGCTGAGAGCTCTTTGACACCCTCTGTGCTACCTTCTGGTGCCTACGTTCCCCCTCCTGGACCCTCCGTGCTACCCGTTGCCAGCTGGCAGTGGGTCCTGAAAAGGCATATGGAAGTCTGAGCCAGGAAACTGGCATTGCTTGGTCCCCATCCTCCCTGCTGGCCGTCTCCATTTTTCTTTTCTGTCAAATGTAGGCTGATTATTTTTTCTTATCCCTGCCAATTTCCATGGGCAACCCTGGTATTCTCTTCACTGTTTATTGCTACCCCTCTGTGTTCCCCTTCTGCGTACCCCTAGTCCTCAAATGAAGCAGTGATCCCTTTGAGTACAAACTGTACTGTGGTTCCTGGAGTGTGTGTGGTGTATGGTATATGTGTGCATGTGTGTGCATGCACGTGCTTGCACAGTCGTGTGTATGCATGCACGCAGATTTTAAAATTTCTTTTCAGGCAGTCTCATCTGTCATCCTGCATGGCCTCGGGTTAGAGTTTTGTGTAAGACTAACGCTGGCTACGTTGATGTTGGCACAAACTATTCCTAAAACACAGGCAGCATGGGACAATAGGGTGTTCATTCATAAGCTTTTAGGCTGGAGGTAGAGACACAGCGTGGGGGGTGGAAGGCGGCTGAATGAAGACCCTTCCTGATGAAAGTGGAGAAGGTCACTGGACAAGGGTGAGTCAGCCGCGTGGTTGGGGATGGTCCTGGTGCTTCTGCTCCCTTTGTGGAAGAGAACGGCATTTGGGAAGGGATCACTACCTTAGAACTGGATGCAAGCAGAGGCTTCAGAGGTTTCAAAGCTACCTTGTCATTCTGAATCAGCGGGGCAAAGGGTGTGAGCTGGCCTTTGGTCTCATGACTTTCAGGTTTCATTTCTGGGCTGGGCCCAGGGGATGGCTGATTTCAGGCTGACCCTGCTGTGGCCGGGGTGGAAGTGTGTGTGGGGTGGAGTTGCGATTGGGCCTCATGTTTTTTAAAAGTTCCAAGCTGATTCAAATGTTCTTCCAGGACTGAGGGCCATGGCATTAAAGTGACCCTGTGAGAGGTGCTTTTATTCATTTTCTCACTTAAGCCTCGCCGCAGGCCTGTGAGGTAGGTGCTATTAACCCCATTTACAGAAGATGCAGCCTTTGAAGGGATGCAAAGCGGCAGAACTTGGATTCAAACTCAGCTCCCTCTAGCTCCAAAGTCCTGCATACTGAGCTTCTCTGAACTTGCAGCTTTAAAGGAGACTCTGAGGTGTGGAATGGCAGAAGGCAGTCTAGTGCTGTGGTTAGTGCATGGATCCTGGAACCACACTGCCTGAGTGTGACTCTTAGCCCCCACCTCTCAGGCAAAGTCACCAAACTTCTCTGGGTCACCATATCCTTACATGAAAAATGGAGATTATCTCCATTATCATAGATAATAATAATTATTATATTACACATATTATGTTACTCTTATTATTACTATTATTAATGAGTATTACTATAGTTTCCCTCATAAGGGTGTGATGAGAATTAAGTGAGTTAACACGTGTAAGACACTTGAAGCTCATAACTACCTGTCATTACCATCATCATTATCCCCGTCTCCACTCTGGTTCTGCGACTGAAGTCTTCCCCAGATTTTATGGATGATGTCACCGAAGGAAAAGAAAAGTTTTTGTTAAACCTCCCCAAGTTTGAAAATTGATGAGATTCTCTCATTGACGTTTTATTATTTATTCTAGTGAAAAAAAATGCAGGTGACCTTTGTATATGGATTTGAAACCACACTGCTGAGAATTCATGTATGAGGGAGAAAAGCAGGCCTGTCTCAGCTGAGTTCGGGGCTGAGACCTGGGCAAAGGTAATGGGGAGGAGGCAAAATCTTTTATTTCTCCTTTCTCTAGGCTTGTGTAATCCTGAGTGTGTTGCTTATGAGAATGGTTGACCCCTGCCCTCCTGGTCCTGAAGTGTTTGCTGCCTCATGACAGACAGCTGCTGGCCAGCTTTTGTTATGGCGAGGCCAGGCGGGGCCAGGTGGTGCTTGCTGGGGAGAGGAACTTCCAGATTAGTCAGGGCAGAACTGCTAAGTGAGAGGGCCCCTGAAGTTCAGCAAAGGTTGGATAGACAGTCAAGAACCCCTCATTGGTTTGACACACTAAACACTGCCATGTGTCTTCAGGCTCAAGGCTGACTCACCCCAGTGGGCGGCCAGGCAGCCAGACGGGCGGCCTGTCCCCGTTACGATGATTGAAATGGATGTGCTTTTTCCCTTGATCAAAGACATTGCAATAACTTCACAAAATGAGGCTGCCTCTTTGAGTGTGCTTCAGTCGCATTGACAGGCTGCCAAAAGACAATGAGACAAAATGCTTTTCTCCCTCCCCCAATCTCTGCTGTCACTTAGCTGGACATTTTTTTTTCTGTTTGTTTTTTAAGACAAAAACTCAGAGATCAGCTATGTTGCTTTAATATTCTTTAGAATAATGATATGCACGTATCTTTGGTGTTAATAATATATTTTAGCCCTGTGCATTATTATAGTAACACACTCTTGAAGTTTATGGAAGGAGTGAAGGGACCTGAGTGGGACTAGGTTTACCTGCCGTGGGACACAGCTTGGGACCACATGACTGGGTTGGCTTTAATGGGGGACACAATGGTCTCTGTTTTCTTCTTTTTTTTCCCTTGTCCTCTTCCCTTCATACCTCCCACCCCAACCTACACAGCAGAGTGGTTGGTGCACATTAAATCGCATGTGATTTTTAGAAATCTTGATACCTAGTCCATGTCCCAGACCATTAAATCAGATTCTGGGAGTGGGACTCAGACGTTGTGTTATTTCAAGCTCCCCAGAAGATGCCAGTGTTTGGTCAAAGTTGAGAATGGGCCCACTGTTGTAAGGGCTTCATCTCTCTTGTTCTTGATTGCGTCATTGGAATGTGGAGTTCACGCTCTTTGGTGACTTGTTGAGTAAGGCTGGGGGCTGTGGGCTTTGTCCTCTGCTGGGGCCTTATCTGTTTTCTCCTCTGGGTATCAGAAATATGACTCCTGACATCTGTTGTACCAAGTCCTTTGCCAAGCAGTTGTCAGATGCCCAAACTTAATCACACATAATAGAAAGGTAGTGGATCACCACCACGAGGAAATGTTGGCTGGAGCTTTTGTGCATCACTGAATAATAATGATGGTGACTCTTTACTGAGTGCTACTTGGTGCTAGGCACCGAGTTTTACACCCATTAATCTCTACAAGGACCTTTGGAGGTAGTTATTAATACCCCTATTTATAAGGAAGCCTGAGTTTCAGAGGGGTTGAAGGTCACTAAGCTAGAAGGGGTTTGTACCCAGCCCTGCCAGATTCCAAGGCCTGGGCTCTTAACTTTTTTTAATGCTACAGAAGGGTCCTTGACGTAAATGTAATTGATTTTCATCACCAGTGTTATTCTAGAAGTCCTCTCTTGGATGCTGTTGACCAATTAATCAAGAAGAAAATTTTTAAAAAGATCCTTTTGATTATGGAAATTTTCAAATATACAAAAAAGCAGAAATAATAGTATAGTGAACTCCATGTGCCCACCAGCCAGCTTCAACAATGATTGGCATGTGCTTGATTCTGTTTCATCTTTCTCTCATTGTCATCTCCCACCCTAAACTGGATTACTTCAAAGCCAATCCCAGACACAATATTTTTTCATTGCAGGCATTTTGGAGCTCTGCTATGTTCTGGGCTGTGTGCTGGTTGCTATGGGGGATTTGAGAAATGTCATGACTTATACCTTCAAGGAGATTATATACAGAAAAGATAAGAAAACATATGATAAAATAGCTAGTATTCAAGACCATATATGCACAACTGGTTATATTTCAAATGCCCATTTACAAGTCAGTAATTTGGAATCTTGAGTGCACTTTATTGTTGAGAAAATATATACAAATTAAACAATTTTGAACATACAGAGACACCTTAAACAAAACTTATTACTTAAATAAGGTAAATGACATATGCTAGCCTTAATGACAAGGTTCTAATGTTATATAAAGAACTCTTACAAACCAGAAAGAAAAAGATTCTAGTAGAAAAGTGGGCAGGAGATATCAACAAGCAGGTCACACAATAATAACAAATAGCCAATAAGCAAATATGAATCATGTCATTTGCTTAGCATTGAAATAAATACAAACAAAAATAATGTACCATTTTGCTTACCAAATTGGAAAAAATTAGAAAAAAGATTCAGGCTTGAGTGAAGGGAGGTTGGGGAAGTAAATTGGCACTGAGTTTTTAATGGGATAATTTTGCAATATGGTTCAAAATATTTTAATTGGGCCCCCATCTTGAGTCTGAAATTCTACTAGGAATTTATTAAAAATATGTGCAAATATGTAGCCACAAGGATTTCCACCTAAGTCCTGCTTATAGTAGCAAAAATATGGAAACTACCTAAATATCCAACAATAGAGAATTGCTTAAGCAAATTATGAATAGCCACACTATGCAGCTTGTAAAATGATGGGTTGTAGAGGTTTATTTTGCATATATGTGTCTGTATGAATGTTAGGGACTTACTTAATCAAATAATTAAAGAGAGAACTATTTTCACTTTTTTCTAAATAGAAAAGTTATATAGAGTTTGTAAAAAAAATTCTAACAATACAGCAATACATTAGGTAGGAAGGTAAAGCCACTGATTTCATCTTCCTGAACTAGGAACAATTAAGTCTATAACCCTCTAGATTTATTTTCTTTGTGTGTACTTATCATTATTTAGGAAAAAAATGGTATAATATCATATACCATTTTATAACACTCTCTTAAACTAATTATATTGTGGACTTCTTCCAGGTTAATTACATATAACTCTACTTCAATTTTTAAATGGTTGCATTATATTTCACTGTATGAGTGTACCATGAATCTGGGAAAT